GTGACTGAGTCAGGTCACTCAAGGATGCCTATCACCTTGATTTCCTTCACTGAGGTGGAATGTGGCTTCTAGCCCATAGAGTGCTTTTATGAGAAGTGGAAGAAGGTGCCTGTCTGGTTGGGCACAGTCAGAGTCAAGGCTTGGTGAATTCAGCCCCACCCAGACACCCTTGTGCAGTGCATGCCTTGCACAGCTGTACTTGGCAGCATTGGTGAGACTGCATGGAAGTTTAGAGTCTTTATCAGCTGAGGCCTTTAAGGAGCCTTATCCCTTCTCCCATGCATCTCCTCGGGCACAGCCTTCTTAAATCACCTGAGGCAATGAACTGCGGAACACCTGACAGAACTTGGCTTCTGCCTCTCAACTGGGTACTTGCCCTCTTTCTCTTGAATCGAGGAGCTGCAGGAATTGGGAATCTTCTAGAAAGTTCCAGCTCAACACCCTGGCTCTCAAAGAGGATCAGACAGAATCTAAGACAACCTGAGTGGATCTGGACTCACCCAGTCAGGGGCACCGAGGGCACCAGCAGAGGCATCAGGGTGTCCTTGTTGGGCTCCCTTGAGCCCCAGACCCTGCAGTATTGCAGGGGTCCAGGACTCCCCTCAAGCTTCCCAGACGGTTCACATCCTTGCCTCTGGCAGTTCTGGGGGAATGAGGTCTGGGTGCTCCTACCCCGGTAAGTAACTTCCACTTCTTCAGGCTTAGTCACTCCAGTGGATTTAGTTTTTCCTAGGATGTGCCAGTCTTCTGAACTTTTTATGATTCTCAGCTGCAGACTTATGTTTTCCACAGCCTTCTGGAGTTGTGGCGTTTCGGAGTAAAAACAGTCTTAGGCAGGATTCTCACTGGTGGGGTTTCCAGACAGCTGTCGGCCCAAGACAGACCAGCAGGAACTCAGAGGGGTTGGTTTGGGACATGGAAACTCAGACACAAAAGAGAATAAGTTACCTGTTCCAAGAATTCCCATCTCTCCAGAAAAGGTCCAGCAGGGCGAGGTGAATGGAAATGGCTTTGGTGTCGCTTGTCTTAGGGAGAGGCCGGTCCATGAGCCAGGACCAGAAGAGGGCTCTCTGAGGGTAATGGGGACATGGAGCGGGGAGGGACTTTGGGCTGGAATTAGACTCTTTTAGAAAATGGGAGGCCAGGTGCGATGGCTCACTCCTGTAATCCCAGCACGTTGGGAGGCTGAGGCAGGCAGATAACCTGCAGTCAGGAGTTCACAATCAGCCTGGCCAACATGGTGAAACCCCATCTCTACTAAAAATACGAAAATTAGCTGAGCGTGGTGGTGCGTGCCTAACCCCAACTACTTGGGAGGCTGAGGCAGGAGAATCACTTGAACTTGGGAGGCGGAGGTTGCAGTGAGCTGAGATGATGCCACTGCACTCCAACCTAGGTGACAAAATGAGACTCCATCTCAAAAAAAAAAAAAAAAAAAAGAAGAAAAGAAAAGAAAATGGGCAAGAGGTGGAGTGTGGGCAGCTGGTTGGTGACCTGAGAGCAGGTATGCAGCAAAATGCTCCAAGTCTCTACCTGGGCCATGCTCTGAGGGAGGGAGTCCAGCGAGAGAGACCCTCAGGGTGGGATCAGGGATGCTGGATGGAGAGAGAGGCCTGAGATGCCACAGGAAGCACAGAGCCTTTGCCTGGCCCGTGGCATTGGCTGTCTTGCCTCACCCACCTCCACTCCCACAGCTCCTAGCTGCTCCCTCCCAGTATCTTGAAGCTGTAGACAAACTCAGTGACCACTGAGAAACCAGGCATAGGCCCCTCCCAGCCCTGAGGACACCACGCCCACCCTGTCCCCTCCTCTGCAGCCCAGAAGGCTCGCTGATTTTCCACCCTGGGGAGGGGAATCAGGCCCTGAGAAGCAGGGCCCTAAGATGGGAACGACGTTGCCTGGCTGCGGGGTCTGGCAGCCCCTTGGTGCTCCTTCTGGCTCCTGCTAGGAAGGCCCCTGGAAGGGCATCTGTGGCTCCCTTCCTGGGCCGGCTCCTGCCCTCCCCACTGCCCAGAGCGCATTTTGAAAGGTCTTAGGGAAAGTGGCCAAGCGTGGAGAGGTGGAAGAGCACAGGCAGGGCCTCAGCCCTGGCCACAGTCGTGGGTCCTGGGGCCCTCCTCCTCTATCCCGCCCGCTCTCCCCTTCCTGCCTGAAGTTGAAAGCTAGCTGGATTGGAGCTGGATTCCTCATCCAGCATGACTCATCTCTGCTCACCCAGAGGGAGGGCAGCAAGAGGTCTGAATCTAGATTCTTGGAGGTCTGGCCTTGGCCTTGGCCTTGCCTCTGACCTAGAGATTTAAAGTGGTAAAGACCCTTAGCTTGTGATGGTTAACTTCATGTGTCAGTCTAGCTAGGTTGTGGTGCCCAATTTTGGGTCAAATACTAGTCTAGATGCTGCTATGAAGGTATTTTTCAGATGTGATTAACATCTGAGGCTAGGCATGGTAGCTCATGCCTGTAATCCCAGCACTTTGGGAGGCCCAGGTGGGTAGATCACTTGAGCTCAGGAGTTTGAGACCAGCCTGGCCAACATGGTGAAACCGGTCTCTAGAAAAACTACAAAAATCAGCCAGGCGTGGCCGGGCACGGTGGTTCACACCTTTAATCCCAGCACTTTGGGAGGCCAAAGCGGATGGATCACAGGGTCAGGAGATCGAGACCATCCTGGCTAACACAGTGAAACCCCGTCTCTACTAAAAATACAAAAAATTAGCTGAGCATGGTAGCGGGTGCCTGTGGTCCCAGCTACTTGGGAGGCTGAGGCAGGAGAATGGCGTGAACCTGGGAGGCGGAGCTTGCAGTGAGCCGAGATAGCACCACTGCACTCCAGCATGGGCGACAGAGCGAGACTCCACCTCAAAAAGAAAAAAATCAGCCAGGCGTGGTGACGGGCACCTATAATCTCAGGTACTCTGAAGACTGAGGTAGGAGAATCGCTTGAACTTGGGGAGGCAGAGGTTGCAGTGAGCCGATGTCGCGCCACTGCACTCCAGCCTGGGTGACAGAGTGAAATTCAGCCTAAAAAAAAAAAAAAGAAATCTGAAATACCTACATGTGAAATCACTAGACTTTGAGTAAAAACAAAAGCCAAATAAAACCAGGTGCAGTGGCTCACTCCTGTAATCAGCCCTTTGGGAGGCCACAGCGGGAGGATTGCTTGATGCCAGGAGTTCAAGAGCAGCCTGGGCAAACAAAGCAAGACTCCATTTCTACAAAAAAAAAAAAAAAAAAAAAAAAATTTGAGACAGAGTCTCACTCCATCACCTGGGCTGGAGTGCAGTGGTGCAATCTCGGCTCACTGCAACCTCCTCTTCCTGGGTTCAAGTGATTCTTCTGCCTCAGCCTCCCGAGTAGCTGGAATTACAGGTAAGTGCCACCACGCCCAGCTAATTATTATTATTATTATTATTATTATTATTTTGAGACAGAATCTTGCTCTGTTGCCCAGGCTGGAGTGCAGTGGCACAGTCTTGGCTCACTGCAAGCTCCACCTCCCGGGTTCACGCCATTCTCCTGCCTCAGCCTCCCAAGCAGCTGGGACTACAGGCGCCCGCCACCACACCCAGCTAATTTTATTTTATTTTATTTTTTAGTAGAGACAGGGTATCACTGTGTTAGCCAGGGTGGTCTCGATTTCCTGACTTCATGATCCACCCACCTCGGCCTCCCAAAGTGCTGGGATTACAGGTGTAAGCTACTATGCCCAGCCAACACCCAGCTAATTTTTATATTTTTAGTAGAGAGGGAGTTTCACCATGTTGACCAGACCAGTCTCGAACTCTGGACCTCAGGTGATCCGCCCTCCTCGGCCCTCCCAAAGGGATTACAGTCATGAACCACCATGCTCAGCCCATTTCTACCAAAATTTTTTTTTAAATTAGTCAGGCGTGGTAGCCTGCACCTGTAGTCTCAGCTATTCAGGAGGCTGAGGCAGGAGGATCAGCCTCCTGAATAGCTGGGACTACAGGAGTACAGAAGTTCTAGTCTGCAGTGAGCTAGGATCACACCACTGCACTCCAGCCTGGGTGACAGACTCCATCTCAAAAGCATAAATGGATAAAAGCTGATTACCTTCCATAATATGGGTGAGCCTCATTCAATCAGTTGAAGGCTCCAAGAGAAAAGAGAGGTCCCCGAGGAAGAAAGAATTCTGCCTCCAGACTCCAGACAGCACTGCCAGCTCCTCCCTGGGTCCCCAGCTTCCTAGCCTGCCCTGCAGACTTCAGACTTGCCAGCCCCCACAATCATGTGAGCCAATTCCTTAAAATAAATCAATCCCTTCCTCTCTCTCCACACACACACACATCTTATCGGTTCTGTTTCTCGGGAGAACCCTGGCTAATACTTAACTTCCAAGGGCTCACAGAGGCAGAGTCAGAAATTTCTGGGGGCTCTGGAGCCCCCAATCCCTGCCACTGGCTAACTGTCTGAGACAACCTTCCAGCCCCCAGCTTTTCACTCTGAGAAATGGGCTGTTCCCATGAAGACTCTCCTGCTTGGAACGTGGGTTGTTAGGGAGCCAGAAGGATCTTCTAAGTCATTCCTCTACCTCTTTGCCATTTTACCTGCAAATCATTTGAGGATGAACCAAATGTTTCATTTCACTTGGGCAAAATTTACTGCAGAGAGGGACAAATGGACTGAAATGCGTTTGCCAGAAGGTATAAACAACCGATTCAGATAATTTCCCAAGCAGAGAGATTAGGAGGGCGCTGGGATGGATGACAAAGTGCCGAGAATTCATGGAATGTAGGGGACTGCGGACCTCAGAGACCATCTGGCCCCAGACATACTGCAGAATCCGAGTCCACAAGAGGTCACGGGGAAGCAGGGGAGGGGCTTGGGAAATAAATCTGGGAAATATTGCAAATGCCACCACCCTTTCGGAGTCATAAAACAGTAGCTGAAATGTCCAGCACGAAAAGGAAAATAGTTATTTGTTGAATTCTTTGTGTTCCAAACGTATTTGGTCCAAGTCCCTCTTCTGCTGCCCTCTCCAACTCTTTGGAAGAATGAGCTGGTGCAATCTTCTCATTTGTAGGTGGGGAAGCTGTGGTGTAGGAGGGTGGCCTGCCCAGGGCCACACAGTGAGTTAGGGTCTAACCCCAGTCTTTGTCGCTCACCCTCAGCCACGTGTGGGCAGAGCCATGACCATGAAGGAGCAGACAAAATCCTCCGTATGGCTTGATGCGCTTCCTAGCTTACTTTAGATTTTTCTGAAGAGAAGGCATCCTTTAGATATTTATTTGTTGCTAAAGCCGTTTCTTGGATTTTAATTAAGTTACACTTGGCAACGGCCGGGCATCTGTTTCCAGAGGCCTGTTTCACACAGAGGGTGTCATTTTTTAAGACTTCAAAGTTAAAACACAAACAACACGCAGTCATGAAGCCCCTCACTGAGCAAAGCTGCCAAACATTGCCGCCCAGGCTGCTGACTCCTGCTGGGCAAGGCAGACCTGGGTGGCAACACTCGTCACTGTTGAGGAGGGCCAGCCTGCCGGAGTGCCTGGCTTCAAAAACCTGCAGGGGCCACATGGCGTTGGAAGGTTGGGAGAGTCATGAGCTGCCCCTGGGCCCTGAGGTGGAACCAGAGAACCCCAGTCTTTACCTCTCATCCTTCAGACAGGCTGGGCAAGTCTGGTGGAGTGGGAAGTGGGTGCCAGTGACCCCCCCAGCAGCAGTTTCTTGGCTCAGACCTCCGCAGAGCAGCCCTCCCTGGCAGCATCTGGCTGACTTCGGTCAGCTGGGTGTTCATGGGCACCAAACTCACAGGCCTGTGGGGGTGGTGAGCACCAAGCCAGGGTGCCCTTGAGAGGCAACCCCCAAGACGGACCAGGAGCTAGGCAATGCCCACCTTAGACATCAGCAGGAGTGTGAGGAGGCCTCATCTTCAAACAGGGTTCCCACGCTGTCCAGTGGTTTTGTTAGGGGGAGGGGATGTAGCAGTTGCTTTCATTACTTTTGCTAGTCTGCTTTGCTTTGGTGTCTTCCAAGCCTGAGCAGTGTGCCTCGGGCTCTTAACTGCGTAGTCCTCCCTCTCTAGCTGTGCTGATGCTCTTGCCCCAGACTCTGCAGGGTGCCCACCTCGTCTGCATTATCTCTCATTAGTTATTCTTGGGGTACACACACACGCGTGCAGACTACTTACAACTACTTGAATTTTCTCAATTAATATTCAATATATATTGAAGTGGAAATTTTTAAACCTAGTGTTTCCTGAAGCATTTAACATACCAATTTCATTATTCATCTCATGAATCTAGTTCATTTAAATGACCATGTTCAAAGGTAGGGGGTTTATAACTTAAGTCATTAAATTTCTTTAATTATCTTGATGCAATTTTATAAATTTAAAAATTTAACATAACCAGTGTTCTTAAGTTTATAAATACTCATCCTAAAAAGCAGGACTTTCCCGGGTTCCTAAACAGTTCTTAAAATTTAACAAACTGATAAATATGATGACTATTAGTTCTCTGAAACATTTCAAAACTTAGAAACTTGGCTGAATCCACTTCCGGTGTTCTGCTTCAAATCATAAGCTTAAAATCAGCTACTCAATTACCCGTTTTAAGTGGGGATTGGAAGGCCAGTCTGTTAGATACTCTGATACGCCTAATTCTCCTGAACATGACGTGACAAATGTGTGAGATACCAGATTTCCATATGCCTCAGTGCACTCGCACTTTGCTCCAGGGCCGCCCTGCGTGACAGTGGCACTTTCAGGGCTAAAGGCACTGAGGAGCGATGCCCCCCTCTCTGGAGCAGTCAAGCCCACTGGTGCCACTTCTGCTTTTGCACCCCACATACCCCTCCAGCGGGGGGGTCTCAGTCCTGGTCTTCAAACTCCATCACCAAACTCCTCCTCCCCTTCCGCCATCCACGCAACTTCGTCACTGGCTTTTTGTTGTTGCTGCTTTTTTTTTTTTTCTGAGTTCTTTCCTAGTTCCTCTCACCAGGCCCCACGTCTTATAGCTACTTAGTGGCACCTCCTTGGATGCCAGGATCCTGCATCCTGGGCCATGCTGATGAGAAGAGTCACAGGGGGCTGGAGGGCAGCTCTTAGTGGCCACCTTCCTTGTGGTCCAGAAATCCTGCCTCAGCAGTGCCGGCTGATGAGTGTCTCTCCTCTGCTTGTATCCTTCCAGTGACGGTGAGCTCACCACTATTTTTTTATTATGATAAAATATACAAATATAAAATGCCGTTTTAACCATTTTAGGTGCACAGTTCAGTGGCATTAAGCACATTCATATTGCTGTGCAACTATCACCACTTTCCATCTCCAGAACTTTTTCATCGTCCCCAAACTGAAACCCTGTCCCCACCCAACACGAATTCCCTCTTCCCCAGTCCCAGCAACCACCATTCTACTCTCTGTCTCTGTGAATTTGAGTACTTTGAATAATTAGATACCCTTGGTCCCTCATGTAAGTGGCCTCATGCAGTATTTGTCCTCTCGTGCCTAGCTTATTTCTCTTAGTGGAGTGTCTTCAAGCCTCGCCCTTGTCATGAGTGGTGTTGGCATTTCCTTCATCACCTGTTTTGAAAGGTTCTTTCCCCTGTTGAGCTGAGAAACACCTTGGGGGTCCTATAGGAAGCATTTCTGACTAGTATAGCCCTGTCTCTGCGAGCAGACAGCAAAGGAGTGTGTGTCATATACCCACAGAGGCTCCGGGGCTGGTGGAGACAGCAAGTTGATTTCTGGCAGTAATGTCCTTGGTTGCCCACAGCTGTGCTCTTGGCTGAGGTCCACAGCAGTGGAAGAAGGGAGGAGTCCCGGCCCCTTGCCTTGATCTCTTCTCCCTTTTGCCTGGTGTGCCCCTGGGGAAAATGCCACCTCTGTCCTGATCCAATCTGGTGCATTCATTTCCTGGGGCTGCCGTAACCAATGACCACCGGCTGAGTGACTCGGAACAATAGAAACATACTCTCTCATGGTTCGGAGGCCAGAAGTCTGAGGTAAGAGTGTCGGCAGGGCGGTGTTCCATCCAGAGATTCCAGGGCACATTTCACTCTTTCACCCTTCCAGCTTCTGGTGGTTGCGGCCGCGTCACTCCCTTCTCTGCCTCCACCTACACATTGCTGTCTTCTCTGTGTCTCTTGTAAGAACACTTGCTTTGGATTCAGGGCCCTCCCAGCTGGATAAACCAGGATCATCTCATCTCAGGGTCCTGAAGGTAATCTGTGTGTGAAGACCCTTTTTCCAAATGAGGTCACATTCACAGTTTCTGGGCACAGGTGCATGGGCATGTCTTTTGGGGGCCACCATTCATCCCACTGCACCCTGTATCTGTCTCTCTCATTTGGTGCACAGGTCTGTGCCTGGCATCCCTCCCTTCCCTGTCACACATGGGGAAAGAATGAAGTCTCCCCTAGAATCCCTAGAGGGAGTGCAGCTCTGCCAACACCCTGATTTCAGATTTCTGGTCTCCAAAACTATGAGAGAATACATTTCTGTTGTTTATGACTCCGTCCTCCTTATGAGACCATTGTCTTCCTAGAGAAGCAAGCCTTATCCGTGCCCAGCTCCTTAACTCTGGGATGTCCCAGCTTCTCTCCCTGGGGGCTTCCTCAGGCTGTGTTTCCCTAACAGAACCTGACATTTCCCTTCCCTCCCCTGGGTGTCCCCCAAAGGCAAGCCGGAATGTCGTGGGGAAGAGGACAGGAGCCCTGGCACCCAGCTGAGGCCTGGCTTCCCCCAGGCTTGTCCCTCCCTTAGCAGTGGCTGCCAGTGATGTTCTAGAGCCAGGAGGGAGAGCAGCCTGGTTCTGCTTCCTGCTTGCCCTCTGGACTCTAATTAATTTCCTTCTGGTGGACTGTGTTTGATTACACCCTCATTAAGTAGCTTTGCACATGCGGGCCCTGGTGGTTTCGATATTGAAGCATCTACCTTTGCTTGTTAATATTCAGCGCTTGCTGCGTCCTCCTTTCCTCGGCTGTGTTGTTGCAGAAACTGTAGAGTCATGCCTGGAGAAGACAGACAAATGAAAGCTAATTTCCCGTGGGGCCTTCCTTCTGGGAGTGGGGTTAAAAATGAGTTGAAGAGGGAAGGGGGGAGTTGAGGTTTAAAATAGAGTATGCCTGGCGGCCTCCTCTGTGGCTTCTCCTAGCTTTCCCCTAAGACACCTAAGATGACACACCAAAAAAACACAAACGCTCAGCACACTGGAAACAAAGACAGGTGGGCAGTCTGAGAGGAGCCTCCTCACTGCTAGACACATGGAGCAAGGCCAAGAAAGACACCATCCAGCCTTCCTCCAAGAATCTGAGACCTCCGGAAGGAAGGGAGGAAGCCGCTTTCTCCCTTAGACTGAGGACTGTGCCAATCAGAAAGCCAGGCAACTGGTCCTGTACCATGGAAGTGACAGTTTGGAGGTAGAAGGAGGGCTCTTCCACTCCCCTCTCCCTTCATCCTCTCCCATGCCTCTGTCTGCATCCGTTCAGAGACAGCAACTCCCAAGGCGGGAAGAGAGGGCGTCTGAGAAGTCCAGTGCAGCCAGTGGGCTTGTCCAAGGACAGGAAGCGTCCTGAACATACAGACATTGTTATAGATTTCCGTGGACTTCACTGTTGTGAGAGTTGGAGATTCAGGCCATGAAGTGGGTGAAGATGTCCCTTCTCAAGGTCAGAGTCACGTAAGCACGGTGCCTGAGTCTCATCCTGGGGCTGGACTCTTGTGCAAGCCAGAGTCCTGAGAGGTGGACTCAGCCCCAACCCAAGGAGGCTGTCATGGGGACAAGGATGCGCTGATAGACTAGATCTCTTCGAGAGTGCACAAGCTGGGGATGGGGGAAGCCTGAGCTTCCTGGAACCTGAACCCCGACCTCTGAAAATGATCTACAGCAGGATCCAGAAGAAATGAACTTTGCAGGAAAAGAATAAAAGGCCACCCAAAGAGGCCAAGCTGAGATGGAAAAGAAAACCAACAGGGTGAGATGAAAGGAGAGATTAACAAGCAAAATAAGAATTGCAAGGAAATGAAATGCTAGCCGACTTGCAATCCTTCTTGGGGGCAGTGAGAGCGGTAATGATGGATGTGAAATCAGTGACATGGAAGGCAAACTGGAAACCCTGGATGAAAGTGTATCATGCACAGAATACCAAAAAAGACAAATACAGAAGACACAGAGCCAGCGTTGGTTTTCCTGAGGAAGCGCCAGCCTGAGAAAAGGTCTACGTTCTGCAGACCAATACCTGAAAGGAAATTCAAAGAAAACAGATCCACTACTAGACACATGGTGGCAAAAATGTTTAATAACCAAGTGTCAGGGCCAGAAAAAGAACAGCCAGGTAGAATGTGCACCTTCCCCTGCTCCCTCCTATCCCAAGAACGTGTCTATGTTTGCCTTCTTGGGGGTCTGGCTGTCACCCAGGTTGGAGTGCAGTGAGTGGCACTGTCATACCTCACTTCAGCCTCAACCTCCCTGGCTCAAGCTGTCCTCCTGCTTCAGCCTCCGAAAGTGCTGGGATTACAGGCATGAGCCACCGGGCCTGGCCCTTTTTAAAATTTGTGGTAAAATACAATAACATAAAATGTACTATCTCAACCATTTTTAAGCATACAGCTCAGTTGTGTTAAGTGCATTCACACTGTTGCACAACTGATCTCCAGAACTCTTATCTTGCACAACGGACACTGTCCTCATTAAACAGTAACTCCTCTTTCCCCTCCCCCCAGCCCCTGGTATCCACCATTCTACTTTCTGTCTCTGAATTAGCTAGTCTACGTACCTCATATAAGTAAAATCAGACAGTATTTGTCCTTTTGTGTCTGGCTTATTTCACTTATTTGTCCCTGTGTCCTCAAGGTTCACCATGCTGTAGCATGTGTTGGAATCCCCTTCCTTTTTAAGGCTGAATAATATTCCGTTGCATGGCTAGACCCCACTCCGTGTACCCCATTCATCTGTTGATGGCCACTCGGATTGTTTCCACCTTTTGGCTACTGTGAATGATGCTGCTGGAGACATAGCTGCTGTTTGAGTGCCTGCTTTCAGTTCTTTGGGGTATATATTCCCAAGAGTGGAATTGCTGGATCATATGGCAATTCTGTGTTTCATTTGTTTAAGGAACTGCCACACCATTTTCCATGGTGGCTGCACTATTTTGCATTCCTACCAGCAGCACACAAAGGTTTCAGTTTCTTCACATTCTTGCCAACCCTTGTTATTTTCTGGGATTTTACGGGGCTTTTTGGATCTGAGAACTGGATTGGCCAGAGAAGTTAAGTTTATTTGTATTAGAAAGATTTGGGCTGGGTTTTCAGGGTGGAAATGAGAAAGCGAGGGATGGTTGGAGTAGCGAGGAAGATACAGGGAAGGGATTTTTGGAGTTTGGGCGATGTCATGAATGAGATGCCCCTTTGGTGACTTGGAGAAGTTGCTGTAGAGATATCAGTTGCTTCAGAGGTCTCCTGTATGCTGAACTGATATTCCTAGGAAGAGGACAGTCTGCTGGGGCTATCCAGGAGACACAGTGGGGTTTTATGGCAAAGACAGCCCTACAGGTGCCAGGGCTAAACAAGCAGCTAAAGAAACAAAAATCAGATAGCCTCATTCTCATCTGCAGCACTGAAAGTCAGAGGGTAACCAAGTCTGTCTGCAATATTTTGCAGGGAGTTTCTGTTGAGCCAGGTTGTCTTCAGGTGTGTCATCAACATGAAGGAATTCTCAGGGAGGCCAGAGCTCAGAAGAGAAACCACCTGTGTATTCTGCTTTGGGGGAAACATGTACTGGGTGACTTCCCTACGGCACAGAAATACAGAGTGAAGGTGCAAGTCCAACTGTGGGGAGGCATCGAGTGAGTGGCAGTGAGCATGTACACTCCGTGCCATTGCCTTGCACACATGTGTGCAAACGTGAATGCAAAATGCCAGCTGTTACCATTCATAGGGTTGTTTTCACATCTAAAAAAATAACAGCAGCTCCTTACAGTGCCTCACACTTGTAGTCCCAGCTACCCTGGAGGCTGAGGCAGGAGGATCGCTTGAGCCCAGGAGTTCAACGTTGCAGCAAGCTATGATCGCACCGCTGCAATCCAGCCCGGATGACAGAGCAAGACCCTGTCTCAGAATAAAAAAGAATAAGTTCACAAGTGAAGAAATACATTTTATGAAAATAACTATATTTTCCAAAGGAAAAGAAAAACCACGTGAGGAGAGTGGTGTTGCTCCCCATTTTTGTGACTCTCTTGCATGTCTCACTTTCTCGAAGACAGACAGCTATCAGACTCACGCTTTTGCATTGGGTCTTGCGACAGGTTGTTTTAATTGACGTCTATGAAGAAAATCTGGCATCACATAGATATGTCATTGGAAAAGAGGTCCCCACAGCACCCCTAAAATGGTATTAAGGGTGCTTCTCCAAAGTCTACAGACCACACTTTGAGAAATGCCATTCTGACTGCCTTGCATGAATCTCTACTCACTTGTTGGAAACATGCACCCCTATTCCCAAGCCCATCATCTCTCCCCATTGCAGTGAGTCCCCAGACCTGTTTATTCATGCTCCAGTCATGTAGGGCCCCCTTCTTTGAGATACCATGTACTGCTGTGTGTTGGGTCCGGCAGCTCGGTAAGGGAGCCAAGGGTGACTTGGTGTCAGGCCAGCCACGCTCTCCGAGTGTCACTCCCCACCAGCAGTGACTCAGGCGTACCTGCTGGTGTTCCCAGACATCCTGATGAGGAACCGTCCACCAACAGTACTAGAGGTGGTACCGTTTAGACCTATCATGAGGAAAATGGGATTGTCCTTAATGCCTCGTGCTTTTTAAGACAAACCAGCCCCTCCAAGAGTAGTACAGTGCACAGGAGGGGCTGCAGGGACCACACCTGGATCTGATACTTCTACTTCCTTTGCACATGCAGCAGGCCTCGTGTGCCTACCCCCATTCTGTGTCTTCCTGAGAACAAGGGCAGGCCATGGGTGCAGAGTCAGAAAGGAGCCTGTTCCCAGGGCTGTGGCCCAGGCTGCAGCCTCCTGAGATACCTGAGGATCTGGTGACCTCTTCTCCCTCACACCCAGCCCCATGGGTAGTCCCAGCAGCTGGTGACACCATCATCTCCAATAGCCTGGCTTAGGGGAGGGGGGATGGAGAGGACATCACGGAGGCAGGAAGTAGCCCAAGGTCTTCAGGACTATGAAGTGCCCTCAATTAGCACAAGCATCCTGTGGACTTAGGTGGGGTCGAAATAAAGCAATAAAGCAATAATGTGTGCCATGGCCTTTGGCCAGCCTCTATCTGGCTTTCCCTGTGTTAGCCCTGGGACCTCGGGGAGCCCCACCCCAGCTGGAATTCACAGGGCGGGCCAGCGTTGGTTGGCCGTGACTCACAGTGACCCTGAGCTGCCTTCTAGAAGACCCTCCTCCTTCCCTCCCATCCTGCCTCTACACTCCTTTTCCCCTCCCAAGCAACAACCACATGAACCCGACAGTGCTCCAGAGAGGTGGAGCCACAGTCAGCAGCTGGGCAACCAGGGGGACGGCGCGAGGAGATGGCAGGGGACTGGGCTCCGGAAAGGACGTTTGGCATCTTCACAGACCTGCCCAGCCTCCTGGGTTGGCAACTAGGATTTTCTTGGTCCTTCCAGGGGTGGCCTAGACTGGTTTGGAGATGTAGGGGGTCCAGGAAGATGAGGCAAGGCTGCTAGGAACACAAGAAACCCAGGCAGTCATCTGGTCCAGGGCTTTCACGCTTTTCTTTGGAACAGAACTGCGTTTGTTTGTAACCAGGAGTTGCTTTGTAAGAACCGCAGCCTACAGCCCTGCTGGTTCCTCTCACCTCCCTCTTGTCTACCGCAGCCCCCGACCGTCAGCCCCAAGATGTTAGAACACAGTTTAATAACCATTAGTGTGGTTCATCTGCCCATTTAACAGATGGGAAAATGGATCACAAGAGGGAAGTCCCTTACCACAGACTTACAGCGAGTTGGGGCTGGCCAGGACCTAAAACCCAGTGCTATTTCCCAGGGTCATTCAGGGACAGACTGCAGGGACAGTTGGAAGGAGGATACCACTAGGTGCCAGGAGTGCTCACGGAGGAGAGGGGTGCCCAGGGGTGAAGCAGAGGAGGGATAGAGGCTGGCACTAAGTCACCAACCACAGAGGAGCAGCCCAGCCTGCTCGACAGACTGTAAAAGAAAAATAACTGCATGCCTCTGGCCTCCTCCCCGTGGCCACCAGGGCAGCCTCTGACCACGGGAATAACCACCCTTCTGTTTCCACCTCAACTGCCCTCCTTCCCCAGCTCCCTGTCCCCAGGAAGGGGAGCCTCAAGCTGTAGGCAGGGTCTGGCTGGCAAGCCAGGCACTGGGCCACAGCCTGTTTGACCACACAGGCCCTCTGAGATTGTAGAACACAAGCACTTTGACTTTCAGCCTTCCTGTGTCCCCAGCCTCCTCCCGCCCCAGGGAGGGCAGGGCTGTGATTTTGCACATTAGTGGGTGACAGTTTGTATCCTGGTGTCCCTCGTGTCCACACGGCTCCGACACACCCTCCTGACCATGAGGCCAGCGTGGACTCTGTGTGCCCAGGTCCCCGCCTGGCCCTGATTCCTGCATTTTTCTAGGGAGAGAGCTCATGGCTTTTGACACATTCTCAAATGGGTCTGTCTGTAGTCCCGGAGATGGAGAACCCCTGCAGAAGGGGAGGACGGGCCTTCCAGGGAGGAGGGGGCAGAAATGAAGTAGAAAGGGCACTGCTGCTTTCTCTGTTCCCTGCCAGGGGCTTTACATGTAGCACTTGGTCTTGTTCCCCTTACCTCCTTGTGATGCTGGGGTCACTGTCCCCATTTTACAGATGAGGAAACAGGCTCAGCAGTGGCAGGTTGCTTGCTTCAGGACACAGCCCTGGCTGAGGGATTGAAAAAGCCGGGGCAAGGCCAGAGGGTGACGGCGGATATCGCACCTGCTTCTACAAGGGAGTGCAGCTCTGGAACCTTTACCAGCCAGTGCTTCAGAAGCCTCCCCCGACTGCATCCACACCAGACCTTGAGCCCCCAGGTCCTGGTTCCCAGCAAATTTTTTCAGCAGCCAGAGAGCCTGGCACAGGGCCTGGCAGTTCGCCTCCAAGGTTCATTCCTGCCACGTGGAAAACAGAGTCCTCACAATTGGCCTTGTGTCCTCATTGAGGCATGAATGAAGCCTTAATGAGGGTGGGGGCAGAGTGCCCCCCAACCATGGCAGGTAGGACCTGGCTGGCAGGTGGGCTCCAAGGGGCTCCCCCCAGGAGGCTCCTCCCACCCCCAGGCGTGACACCCAGGCCCTCCAGAGCCCCCAGCAAAGACTCTTTATTTGCTTGTAGCAATGTCAGCTGCCAGACCACAGAGCCCATCCCTGCCCTCCATCTGCCCAGCTCAACCACCCTCTCACCACCCCCTGGCAGATAAGAGCAATGAGATATGCAGAACAGGCCCAGGGCTGAGGCCGCGCCGCCCCACCCCCATCCTTCCTGAAATTCCAACAGCACAGAAGGCGTGGGCCTTGGTGTCTCCATCTGTAGACAGTGTATAATGATGTCCAGCCTGTTTGCCTTCCAGGGATTTCTAAGAATCATGTGGGGAAGGTATTTTAAAAGTTCAGAATACAAACAAAATGACAAGGAGCAAACTCAGCTGGTCACCCACACATTCCCTGCCCAGACTTTCTGTCCCCAGGGTACTGGACCCCAGCCACCTGGGCTGGGAGCCTTTCTCCTCTGGGCTGTGCTGGGGAAGCTGTGGGAGCCCCGAGAATGAGGACGGCCCGCAGTGGGTGGGCCTGCTTTGCCCCCCACCCAGGGATGCCTCTTGTTCCCCAGGATGGCGTGAGGACAGTCTCCGGATGGAAATGTCAGCATTTCCTGGTCTGTGTAAGGCACCAAACTAGGGTCAGACCTGCAGTGTAGCTCATACCCAAGGATGGCAGAAATTGGGCGGGGGTGGGGGCGGGGGAGCTTGAGGACAGGGAGCAGGCGTAACTACCCCTTTCACATGGAGTGGCACCAAGTTTAGTCCCCACCCCAGGGCAGGCATGTCATGTTTCCTTACTTCTCCAAAGCCCATCACTCCGTTTTAAGCTCGGGGTCTCATGACCTACTTTAGAGGAAGGTCACAGGATTCTTCAGGGCCTGCTTCAGGGGAGGATGGCAGTCAGAGAGACCTTCCTGCGTCGGCTGCCACCTCAGATGCCAGGGTGCCATATTCTGGGGTGGTGTGTCCTGAGCCCCCAGACCCAATTCCTCCCTCAGACCCAGGGAAGCTCTGCTCCAGCGGCTTCTGCTGCGGCCCCACCACACTTAGTGTCACTCGCCTCCAAGCTACTCCCCTCCCGTCGGGAAGATTCCACTCAGTACCTTTCTGAGGGAGTCCTGGTGAGGTTTCCTTCTGGGTGCCTAGCAGGCTGTCCTTACAACCCCGAAACCCCCAAGGCAAAGGAACACTCAGGCTGCATCAGCTACAGAAGGAGCAGTAAAAACGTCAGAAGCAGGAAGAAAACACAAATAAATATCAATAAACCATCCTGTCACAAGGCAGTTTTGTCAATTCCAAATTTTGCCACGATGGAGAAGCAGCTGCTTGCACCAAGGCGGGCCACCCTTGGCTTCCTCCTCTGGAAAACCAGAGAGACAAAGGTCAGAGGCTGTCCTAGGAGAGGGCCACAAGCCAGGACCCACACAAACTGTGGAGCCTGCAGAGGCCAGTCCCCACTCTTCTCAACTTGGAGGTAAAGACAAACAGGAGGGGCCTGCCCGGCCCCTGAGGGAAGTTCTGCAGACGCTCCCCACTGGGGCTCTGGGAGGCAGAATTGCCTCCAGGGGCCTGTGCCTACTTCTCCTGGGGATGGTGGGTGAGCTGGGTGGGGCAGCCAGCCCTGACCTCTG